GGCATGACATTGTGCTTGTACTAAGTTTTTTTGTTGAATTTATTTATTTGGAATAAAGGAATGCAATTCAATTTTCAATTTCCCATCTTCTATTTAACACTTGTGTTTAGGTTGTGAAGAGGGATATATCTACTATGAGTGTGGAAACTGAGAAGGTGATTAATAGGTAGGAGTTGTGAGGGAATTCTCGAAGGTGTTTTGGATGAGGTGCTTAGGTTACCTCCTACTAGTGAGATTGAGTTTAGCATTGATCTGGTCCCTAATGTAGGGCTAGTGTTGGTTGCTCCCTATAGGATGGCCCCAACAGAGTTGATTGAATTGAAGTGTCAGGTGGAAGAGTTGAAGAGAAAGATTGAGCAACTGTGTAGAGAGCATTATCCTTCTTTATTTCCAAGTAAGTGTATTTTCGGGGACGAAAATTCTTATTTGTTGGGGGGTATTGTAATGTAGTTAATAGACTGGAACGGGGCATTCCCATATTGGAACGGGTCGTTCCAAACTACTAAAACAAGGGTGATTTAGTAGCCCAGAACGGGCCGTTCCAAACTACTAAATAGGCCTATAAATCTTGGACTGGAACAGACCGTTCCAAAATGGTCATTTTGAGTTAAATTCTACTCCAGAACGGGCCGTTCCGATTTTAGAACGGGTCATTCTAGACGTGCCAGAATGGGCCGTTCTGATTTTAGAACGGGTCGTTCTGATTTTAGAACGGGTCGTTCTGCATGTGAATTTTACACATGATATAGGAGCCTAGAACGGGCCGTTCCGGATTTGAAATGGCCGTTCTGGCCATTTCAGACTTCTATAAATAGAGGTTGTGCAATTGAGGAGAAGGAAAGGTTTTTAGAGAGAAGTTTTAGAGAGAAAGACTCTAGACTAGGAAGCTTGCTTTAGGTGTATTGAAGTTCCGGGTTGAGCTTTGGAAAGAAAATTCTACTTTTTCTCAGTTCTTGACTATTTTGAGTCAATCTTCAGGTAAGGGAAGCTAGATTGTATATATTATTTTTTTTGTATGTGATTTTAGGAACTCATATGAAGTTGTATAATTATATTGAGATGTATGATGAGTAGAAAGTGAAATAAAGAGATGCATGTTGAGTATAGTGTTGTAAACTAAATGAGTAGTTGTGCCAAATAGAAAATGAGTTGAATGCATGGTATGTTGCTAAAGTTGTTATATTTATGTGTGGATTATTTATATGTTGTAAAATATGATGAAATGATAATGTTGTGAGTTGTGAAAAGCATGATGTGAAATGTGTAGACGCGGTGAGATTTATACAAAATTTATTAGTAGACCATGTTGTTAAGTTATTAGAGAAGAGTTGTATGTTGCTATAAAGTTGTATGTTGTGCCATGTGTTGAAAAGATATTATTTTATGATGATTGAGTTGTAAATTATGAGTTGAGCTAATAAGCTGTTGAGTTGATTGTGTTGTTTAAAGTTGAAATGAGATGTTGTGTTGTTAAAATATGTTGTTAAACAACGTTGATGAGTTGTTGTGCTGATATACCATGTTGTTTAAGTTGAAAGTTGATTGAGATGATGAGTTGAAAGGCAAGCTGGCGAAGACTGTTGGTGGGCCAACTGGGTCCAAGAGTGGTGGTGGTTCTCAGAAGAAGCCTTATGATAGGCCCCAATCACAACAAGGGGGTCCTGTCACAAGGAAACCTATTGACACAGCTAGGAGTGGGGGTCAGAGTGGAGCTGCTACTCTCAGATGTTACAGATGTGATGGACCTCACTTCATTCGTGATTGCCCTCATGCCGAGAGCAAGTGCTTTAGGTGTGTCCAGATGGGTCACATGTCGACTAGTTATCCTGCAGGTGCCAGGCAGACCAGGAGTGCCCCGATGGGTGATAGATCTACTGCAGCTGGGAGGGTGTTTGCCTTGACCGGAGCTGAAGCTTCCACTTCATCTGATCTAGTGAAGGGGAAAGGTAAAGCTACTAGTAAGGATGTGATGATATTATTTGACTCATGGTCTCCCATTCATTTATTTTATATGCATGTGCTGAAAAGTTGGGTTTGCCTGTACGTAATTTGGGGTTGAGATTGCTTGTGTCTGCGCACGCTTCTGTTTCTATTGTTGTCTCTAAGATGTGTGTTGGTTGTCCCTTGGAGATGTGTGATAGGAAGTATAAGGTGAACTTGATCTGTTTGCCTTTAGTGGATATTGACATAATCTTAGGGATGGATTGATTATCTGCCAATCACATTCTTATAGATTGTGCCACTAGGGAGTTGGTTTTTTCCCTTAGGGGGGGAGGATGAATTGTTGATTTCAGCCAGCCAAGCTGGAGTGATATTGAGAGATGGAGCAAAGTGTTGTATTTTGCTTGTTGCTGTGAGTGTGGAAACTGAGAAGGTGATTAATAGGTAGGAGTTGTGAGGGAATTCTCGAAGGTGTTTTGGATGAGGTGCTTAGGTTACCTCCTACTAGTGAGATTGAGTTTAGCATTGATCTGGTCCCTAATGTAGGGCTAGTGTTGGTTGCTCCCTATAGGATGGCCCCAACAGAGTTGATTGAATTGAAGTGTCAGGTGGAAGAGTTGAAGAGAAAGATTGAGCAACTGTGTAGAGAGCATTATCCTTCTTTATTTCCAAGTAAGTGTATTTTCGGGGACGAAAATTCTTATTTGTTGGGGGGTATTGTAATGTAGTTAATAGACTGGAACGGGGCATTCCCATATTGGAACGGGTCGTTCCAAACTACTAAAACAAGGGTGATTTAGTAGCCCAGAACGGGCCGTTCCAAACTACTAAATAGGCCTATAAAATTCTGTTTCCAGAGCCCTTGTCCTGTTTTGTTAGAATTTATAGATTTTCCAATTAAATTTTCAGTTAATATCTTTTCACTAGTAATTATAAAAATATCACATTTTTTTGTTTCCTGTTTTCAAGATTTTGTGAAGGAAATGGTGAAACTGAAATCAACATAAGGAAAAGAGGAAACTAAATGAAAACGGGGTGACAACTTTAAATTATAAGTGAAAACATTTCACCTGAAAATGAAAATAGAAAATAAGCCAAAACACCTCTTATATATTAAGCCTGAAATAACATTGGTCACCTATCATTCTAATGCAACTCTTGGTTTATCATGATTTTGTAGTCCAAAACGACAAGATTCAAGGAACATTCCTTAAAAAGGATGACCCAAAGATAAACGCATTGATGCAACAAGCAGAGTTACTAAGTTCACTAGCTCTTAAAGTTGATGCAGAGAACGTGGACCAAAGTCTTGAAAATGCATGGAAGGTGAGGCTTGATAGTAAACTTGCTTTTGTTTTGATTTTTTGAACAGCTTACAGGCTTCTTTATAAATGAGCTCCAGTTGATGTCATCAAGCAAAGACCAATTTATAGATTAAATGTCATGAAGTTCAACATTAACAAAATTAAATCATTTTTTAACATGTCAAGCCTATCTACACAAAAGTCATGAAAGTTATTTTTCAGCCGGATAGTATACATTTATTATTGGAGAGATTACCTTGATTCTGCTAATGCTTGTATGGATTTGTATACTAGCTGATTTTTCAGAGCCTAGTTCTTCAGCACCCTGGTTGTTGCTAATCACAAAGAATTAGGCATTATATAATAGTATAATTATAGGTAGAATTTACGAAAATAAATGGTCTTAGAATTCAATAAGTAAAATTATTATTTAAGAGTTACTTGAATTAAATAACAATATAATATAATCATTAATTTTAAATAATTAATATAATTAGTGATAATTTTAAGCAATTATTTGATAAATACATAAAATATATAGATTATTATTTCTCAGTTTATAATATGAATGTGCTTTTAAAATAATTTTAAATCTATTTTTTAAAATAATAAAAATGCATTGATATAATGTAGAATGAAGTGCATTAGTTGATGATTTAAAACTATCAGAAAATGTGAGATTTGACGATTTAAAACTGTTAGAAAGTGTAAATAAGAAAAAAAAAGTAATTTTCTGGCGGTTTAAAACCACGAGAAATGATGAATATACAAAAATTTAGATGAATTTTATGGCGCTTTTAAACCGCCAGAAACTGTAAAATAGGTAAATTTAAAACCAATTTTGTGGCGGTCCTAAACCGTCGCAAAGAGATTGAATTTTCTTACACTCAAAACCAGCGTTTATAACATATACGCCGCAAACGATTTTTGGCGACCGTAGATTCGGCGATTATTAACGACGCCGGTAATGCAATTGGTGGCGATTTTTAACCGCCAGAAACTGCCAAAATAACCGCCACAAATCACACATTTTTTTGTAGTGTACGGTATACAAGATTTGAGCACTTACATGCTAAGAGACTTAATGAATACCTATTCTGAATTCCTAGTGAAAGATGTTGGTTTATCAAAGTCTTAAATAGAATACTAATTAATTTATAATTTAAATGTTTTTATATCAACAATATATCAAATTCTTTATCCAAAAAAATTATAATAATGATAATAAAGTTTGAACATAAAATTATATGTATATTATTTCAATAGACGACTCTAATTATACATAATATATTAACATTAAACATATATTATAATCGATCATCTTACCTTTTTTTTTTAATAATTGATCATTTTAATGTGTGATAATAGATATAAAAAAAAAACTTTGTTTTTATTCTTCAGCAACCTACAACATAGGGTGAGTATGATTTCATCTTAAAACGAAAGAAAGAAAAGTTAACAAAGGAGAAAGTTTTTACATTATATATATATATATATATATATTTTTTTTTTTTACTTTTATGTTTCACTCAAACCAAACATACAAATAAATTGTTTTCACTATTTTTCTTTACATGATTTAAAAAATTAAACAAATTTAATTAACTTAAATAAATAACATTTACTCAAATGTACAAAAAAAAACATTTATTAAAAATAACTGACTCATCTTAGAAAATAGATTGAAATCCTATAAAATTGACACGAATTATCTCCCACTAATAAGTTTTTCATTATCTTATCTTACACTCAAAGTCTCAAACTTTAGTCTTTCATCTTTGTCATTAAAACGAACTAACTCTTATGCTAATGTCATTATAATATAAATAGCTCTTACTGTTGGACTAGCAAGTAACATTTCATTAGGCAATAAGATAAAAAACCATAAAGATTAAGATATTAATCTTCCTTGAATAATCTCTAATAGTTTGGGTTTGGGCATAAATGAAAAAGAAAAAGGGAAAGAGTGATTCCCATAATGATAATCACGCGCAGCCTCTAGGGGCAAACCCGACCCGAGAAGCAGCCAAATCAAAGACGACCCGAAAGCCTTGCTGCTGAATGTTTCCAATAATGGACAAGCCACTCATAGTTCCGGCAAATGCAAAGCAGAACGTACCACTATTATCGACCGGAATAAGATAATTCGTCGCCGGAAGGGACACGTCAGCACCACGGAAGTGAAACACCACGGTCGGAACCTTAACCTCGGACAGCCCCGAGAGATCAAAGCACGTGTCGAAAAGCGCGAACTCAGCCGCACGCTTCAAATGCGAAGCCCTCACCCGAAACGCGTCTCTCAGAGCCACGTAAGCAGGGCGCGTGAGGCGCGTCACGGAAGTCCCCGAGTCAATTATCACCCCACCGTCCCCGCTCGAGCCGACCCGAAAGAGCGAACCCGAAATGCCGCGAACCGGGGCGCCGCCAACGCTCATACCCAGAAGCTCCAGGTAATAGAACGTGTCTAGTTTTGGGTTTTTTATCAGGGGAGTGAACCGGGCGGTTCGCGAAACGGCCGAGTCGCCGAAGACTAATGAAGAGGGTTTGGCGGAAGCGGTTCGGTCCGTTAGGCAGTAAGAGAATTTGTTGTTGAACCGGGATCCTGCCTGGACCGGAAACGACAGCCCGCCGCGGCCCAGGCCCAACAAACCTGCGGCGCCCACGAAGAGGCCCTCGTTGTCGTGGCCGCATCCCAACGCCACGCGCGGGATCTGCGCGCGTCGGAACGTCAACGTTTCGGTGGAGAAATCTCCGAACGTGAAAGACCCGTCGCCGTACGAAACTTGGTACTGACAAAGACCCTTTTTCCGGCTGCACCCCGGCGAGTCCAGACGGCGGCATAGGGGGGACCCACATGGGATTCCGGCGAAAGATTTGGACTTTAGCGGGTCAAAAACCGGGTCGGTTTGTGAGTAGCATTTTGCGCAGGGAGCGCATTGGAGCCAGACGACGTCGCTTCCTGTGTCGAGAACCATGTACACGTACTTTGGTGGAGTTCCCACGCCTAGGCGCGTGAAGTACTCGCCGCTACCCTGAGCAAGACCCGAGATTATCGAGCTTGCGAAACCCGACCCGACTGACCCTGCGGGTCGGGTTTGGTTTGCTGCGGCGAGGAACGATAGGGTTTTGACTCTTTTGGCGTCGCGTTGGAGCCTTAGGTGGAATAGTTGTGATGGGGTTTTGTTGAGGGAGAGTGCGTCCATGTGGTGGAGGTGGAGGGAGAAGGGTTCCGGGTCGGGTCCTGTGGTGTCGGATTCGGGCCATGAGAGTGTGGGTGGGTGGGGGAGGGTGCGGAGAGGAAGGGTTTGGGTTTCAGTGGAAGTGGCGGAGATGCATAGGAACAGGGCCACCAGGGAAGAGAGTAAAGGGGTTATGAGTTTTAGTTTCAGTTCCATTTTGGTGTGAGAGAGGAAAATGGTAGTACAAGAGTTTATGGAAGTGGAAGGTGACAGGGAATTATATAATGATGTTAGAGTTCACATTTGGTAATTTTTATTTTTTACTTCCACTTTACACTTTCTGTTAATTTAACTGCATGCACCAAGTTATTCATTTACCTGTATAAGGAACAAAATTATTACCTGTGGTCTGTTGAAACTTGAAACAAAGATTCTTTCTGCTTATTTTTTAAAATGTTTACATTTTTATATTTTATTATTTTATAATGTATACAAGAGTTCGAAAGGAACACGGCTTACAAGATAATTAAAGAATAAAATAAATTAATAGAATGTAGAGGTTTAAATTTACGATCACTCCGTTGAGAGTCTTCAATATTTTACCCATTTTTTTTTACTTTCGTTAGAAAAAATATTACTAAAATATTTTAGTTAAATTATACTTTTAGTTTTTTTTTTTTTTTTTTTGAAATTTTAGTCTCTCATTTTTCAAATAGAAACATTCAACTATCCTATTTTTAAAAACAAAGAACTTTGATCTTACAAATTTAATATTTATTAATCATTAGATTTTGAAATTATTTACCAATGTAACAATCCACTATCATTCCTATATTTAAAACCAAACAAATAGTAGTGAAAAACTAATATCTTAGTTGTATACCTATAATTACAAGAATATGTATTACATAACCTGTATATAAAAATAAAAACAATTATTCAACAATATATGCAATATAAGTATAATAATTATGTTAATGTAAATTATACAATCTAAGTTGTCAGTTAAGCAATTACTACTTTTTATACAAAAATCACCTAAAAGTAGATATCAAGAGAAACATTCGGTTCCAAGTCTACTAAGTGGTCTCTATTACACAACTTCATATCTATCATTATCCTACTCTCATGCTACGTATGGTCATTATAGTCCAAATCATATAAAAACACGTAAGGGTAAACTAAAGTTTAAAGTATCAATATATATGCAACATAACATAGAACATCAACAATTTTAATACATCATCATATCTTAATCTCATTTCCAACACTATCAACATGAATCATCACAATATAATTGACATATATCTTCATGATCAACACAATCTACTAAAATACAATATCAACTCGAACATCACAATATTAACAACTCAAAGTGTTCATCACATCAACATAATATTTACAACACAACAACTATATTCATCGTCATGCATTTCAACTAAGAGATCTCCTATAATACAAGGCAAATAGTTAAAGTGATTTGATCATCCCAAACCAACAACAAAGGTTGACCTTTATGGCCTACTAAATCCAAAAAATTGGATATAAATCAACAACACAACAACTTGGTTTCTTAAATTTTGTCACTTAAATAATGAAATCAGTACCATTGTCATGGTAAAACAACTTGGTTTGAGTCTACCACGACATTAGTTAGCTTAACTAAGTCACTTATCGATTTACCTCATTGATTACTCTCCAAATACTATGTCATTCTGATACTCGGTTAGGAATTAAGTTCTCGACTTTGCACTTTACTCAAATGATCACCTTATACACGTGCCTCAACCTTGTCCATACATGGTACCAACTAAGTCTTAGAGGAGATTCAACCCAATTATCCACTTCAAGGGTTAACTTTCCAAAAAGGGTTTTCAATAAAGTTGGGCTCTCGGAATACCACAACAAATATCCATACAATGGAATATGCAACTTAAAAAAAAAAAAAAATTCTCCTCTAGTCCTAGGTTGATTATCATAGCTCAACAACACCATGCCTAAATGCCAAAAGCATTCTTAGCATTCATCATCTCAAATAACACAACTTCTTACATATTCAACATAACTACACGACCAACACATAACTTCACAACTCACAACATACATCCCCACTCATATTGAACTTCTCAATCATCATTCATTTTAAAACATTATCATATATAGAATAAACAATGTTTAATCAACCTTAAAGTATGCAATAATACTCTATTCATCTCATACTCAACAATTATCAAATAAATCAACATGTTTTCCTTCAACAACAAGTGCCTAGCGCCACACACCCAGCACCCAATGCCTTCCAAGCAAGGAGTTCTCTATCTCACCCACATCCAACGCCATACAACCCATGCTCAATATGGCTAAGATAGAAATCCCTAAGACTTCGCACCTAGTGTGGCAAAGTACAATGCCCGACCCCATCTTAGGCAAGGAGTCTCTACTTATCTCATGAATGGTGTCACCATAATGGCACCCAATGTCATCCAGATAGAGCTTTGGTTTGGCCATGCTAGGTGCTACTTGATAGCGATGTTGAATCACTATAAAAAATTATTAGGTTTTCTCCAAAGATTTGTAATATAGGGAACAACGTAGGTCATTTTTCTCGAAGACGCAAGTCAAATGGATCCAAAATTATCATGTAATTAGAAAAGGGGATTTTTATGAACAACAAAGAGAATTTAAAATATTAGAAACACAAGCAAAAAAATTTAATTAGAAAATTACATCGATTCAAGATTTCAATCATTACGGTAAAATGTTCATAGTTCAACAAGAAATTCAAATTCTCAATCAACCTAAATTAACATGAACATAATCTAAATGTAGATCTAAATTAAATCTAGATCCATTGAATTTCATTAAAAAAAATGAAACACAATCGTGATCTCACAATTTGAATAAAATTCAAGAACAGTGAACAGTTGAATTAAGCGATTTAAGTTATTTTATGTCTAAATCTAAATCTAGATCTAGATCTAAAATCAATCTTCAAATATGATATGAATCCATTAAAACAAAATTCATAATATTATACTAATAAAAGTCAAATAAACAAAAAATAATGCATAGAAAAATATACAAGAATTTATCTATGACTATTCAGCCTTAGGCTCGACATCACCAAGTCAGAGACCTCCCAATGTTCTCATGTTCAGTGCCATCCAAACCACACGTGATATCATCCCAATCTGAGACAAGTCTCTCTCCTCACATTCGACACCATTGATCCTACACTAGGCGTAATCCAGACAAAAAGCCTTTCATTGGAATGATGCCCAATGCCACAAAGGTGCGTCCGACATGATATTAAAATTCTACATGTGCAGAACTCAATTCTAACTCAAAACCTAGAATTTAACAAGGATCCAACATATGTAACACCAAACAATAGTCAAACACATCACAATCAACACATACATGTACTTAAACTCAACATGCAAAAATAATTCATTCAAAACATCACATTCTTGCTAAGAACTTCAAAACCCAACCTTCACATAAACCCTCTCTATTTCAATCAACTCCATCATAGTATTTTGAAATCCAAGAAAAATTTAGCAACCCAATCATCCAACAAATCCAACAATACAACATAAAAACCATTAACCCGGCTTTCTTTACCTCAGGTAGCTTAAAACCTAGGTATAAGAGAAGAAAATGATGCTCTTTGCACTTCACGGGTTAGATTCAGGATTCCCTTAACCTGAATCACAACAAACAACTTAAAATCAGCTATGAAAAAGAAGAAATCTAAAATAAGAGTAGATTCACGAGAAAAGAAGTCCACAAACTAGACTTTATCTCTTTAGAATCCTCTCTAGAATCTTGAGAACATGAGTTTATAAGGCTCTATTTTAAATAAAAGAAACCTTATATACTCTTCCCCTTGAGGACAAATTGGATCTTTATTCAGAGAAACCCCAACCACTATTGAAACTCCTAAGAGATCCTCAGATCCCAAAGTTTCTCAACATTGAATAACAACTCAACTTAGCAACACAAAATAAATTTAAATAATTATAACACTCTACAATTCATAGTGTTATAATATTCCCCAACAACAAGAATTTTTATCCTCAAAAATATACTTGGGAATTAGAATGGATACTACTCTTTGCACTACTCCTCAACCACCCGAGTAGTCTCACCAGTAATAGTATCCCACAGAATCTTCATCAAGCCGATCGACTTGCCTCTCAGTTCCTTTAGTTTGTGATAAACCACAACTACATGTCTCTTCTCATATGTCAGGTTCTCTCTAACCTAGACTTCAGTCATCTCAACAACATGAGTTTATAAGGCTCTATTCTAAATAAAACATTATATACTCTTCCTCTCGAGGTCAAATTGGATATTTATTCAGAGAAACCCCAATCACTATTGAAACTCCTAAGAGATCCTCATATCCCAAAGTCTCTCAACATTGAATAACAACTCAACTTAGCAACACAAAATTAATTTAAATAATTATAACACTCTACAATTCATAGTGTTATAAAACTCCCCAACAACAAGAATTTTCATCCTCAAAAATAGACTTGGGAATTAGAATGGATATTACTCTTTGCACTACTCCTCAACCAACCGAGTAGCCTCACCAGTAACAGTATCCCACAGAATCTTCATCAAGCCGATCAACTTGTGGTGGAACCACTTGGAGAAGATTGATGTTCTTCAAGTTGAACCATGCTAAGTCCCTTTCTTCTCTTGAGGTTAGACACTCCAATGATGAAGAAACACCTTTGAAGAAGCTCCAATGGTGAAGAAGCACTAAGGAGTGCTCGGTTACTCCTTGAAGAAGTAGAAGATGGAGGCTCCAAGGCACAAAGGTGGAAACCTTTGTGAAGGAACTAGGGAGAACTTGTTCTCCACGGTTTTGAGACTTTGAGAAGAGAGAATTCTTTTAGAAATTCTGATTTCATTCATCCAAAGTGAGGGAAAATGAAAGGTTTACAAATTTATAGAAGTAGGTAGCTTATGGAGCAAGCTAACCTTAACCATGGTTCAAGTGAACCATGGTTTGGTTGGCTTGACCATCCAAGCTAGTTAAGAGGCTTGTGGAGCAAGCTTCTCACTTAGCTTGCTTGGGAAGCAAGCTAGGAGAAGCTTGTAGCACAAGCTTCTCAACTTTGAGAAAGGATAAGCAATTTGGCCAAGACAAAGAGCTAGGCAAAGGTGGGCGGCCAAGGTCCTATTTTGCTCACTTTGATTATTTCAAAAATGTTTGATTTGGTTTA